GTAGATTCATTTTTATTTATTTATTTAAATTTGGTTTAAATTTTCAGGATTATAACCATTGGATCTGTGCGAACTATAGGAATGCTTTTTTTTTATCAAGCTATCGATGGAGCATGGCCAACATTTAAAACATTTCCATCAACTCAAATGGATTTACTGTATGATTGCTTTAACGCAACAGGATATACACACACATGCTCGGAAGAAGAGATGAGGGAGGCATTCGAAGAACATATGAAATTGCAATATTCCGATTGGATGTCGTCGTTGAGAAATAGCGTTTTTAGGAAATACAAGACTACTGGTGATAGATACACTCATTGCCAATTAGGGATATCTCAAGATGTTTGGTCTAAACTGCTTGATCATTGGTTGCAGCCTACATGGCAGGTAAAAACTCAATTTAAAATAATATTGTTATGATTGGCTAGTGTATGCTTTAGTTTATTTATAGATGCCTTATATGGGTTCACTAAGTTGATATTAGGTTCTGATTTACTTTTTTCATGCAGGATAAAAGTAAAAGAAACAAGTCTAATAGGGCGAAATCCACAATTGTGCATACGACAGGTTCTGTTCCAATGGAAAAGTACAGAAAAGATGAGGTAAAAATATCAATTTGGTTGTTGCTTTTTGTTGACTGTTCCTTTTGTGGTTATTTCCAAATTTGGTCCTAACAAACTTCATTGTTTAAATCTTAATAGCTTGATCGAACTGGAATTGAACCGAGTCCAATTGATTGTTTCAAAAAGTTCCATGTAAGTAAGCCTAAGAATGGAGGAAAAGAAAGTTGGCCAAGTGAAAAGGCTAAAGAACTTTTTGTACGTTACCCCCACTTTGTTTCTCTTTTTAAAAAAAAAAAACATTTTATTCACATGACATTTTTTTATATCCATGTTTATATTTCTACTATTTCATTGAAGGATAAAATGGAGAATAAAAAGGTTGTTGCAAGGGAAGACGAGAATGAAGTAGATGATTGGGATATATACAAGGAGGTTATTGGTGGGCCACACGGTCGTATCTTTGGCTTGGGTGGTGGCTATAGAAAAAAAGATGTGTATCACTCAGATGACCAAGGTTGTAATAAACGTATATGCTTAGAATGTGAAGAAGAGCATGAGAAATTAAAAGATGAAGTGAAGAACTTGAAAAGTGTGCTGTATGAATTGAAAGATCTAGTTCGAAGTATGAGGGAAAACAACTCAAATACTTATGCACGCTCAAGACAATCCGCTTCAATGGTGAACTCTTTTCTTCTCATTTCAATATTTTGCTCACTGTTAAATATTGTATTTGTTATTTTTATTCTCAAACGATTTATGTCTTATTAATTATTATCTTTTATTCGACAGGACAATGTAGAAAGTTGTTCAGATGCTCACCTCGAAGACGAGTAGTGCAACATCAATTGTATTTTGCTACAATATGTATTTTGAATTTTAAGGTTTTGATATATTTGCGGATTGCTTATATGTTTTAAGGATAATGGGGATTGTTTATGTTTTAACTATTGAGAATAATTTTAATTGAACGCTTAAAATTTTAGTACAATATGGTGTCGTATGATTTTTTTTTTCTTTTTATTACCAATTAAATACGGATGATTAGAAAACAAATTTTGGCAAATATTATAATTCAAATTTCTTTTTATTAATTTTTTAAAATCAAATAATTATATTTTTCGACCGCATTTCCCTCTCATTAATGCATATTTCCAATAAATATTTTATCATCGGAAATACTTTCCGACAATAATTGCCTATTTCCGACAACATTTCCCACGACATAATCGGGTCGAAACAATTATATTTCCGACCACTTGTTCGTTGAAAATATTTTCCGATAGGATTAATCTATTTGCGACAAACTTTGTGACGAATAAATGTGGTTGGAATTATATATTTCCGATGTAACTTGCCCATCGGAAATATTTTGTTATACTCTTTTCCGACAAGCTATTATATATTTTTCACAAACTCTTTTGGTCGGTAATGATAATTACGACGAAATCTAACCCTCACAAATAATGTATCATTGTCGAAAAAAGTTTTTCTGACGACACTCATTGATCGAAAATATGAATTCGCAAAAACAAGAAATCACGATAAAATAACTATTTCCGACAATCAAATCAGTAATTACGACCACATGTATGGTCGAAAATAAATATGCAGGGTCGTTTTAAAAATCCATTTCCGATAGAAATTTAAGCAATAACTACGAAGCATGGGCATCGGAAATACATTATTTCCGACGGAAGGGTCGGAAATGAAGTATTTGCAATCGGCCTTTTAGCGATGACTTCCGACGGACTTTTGCTGTCAAAAAAGGGTATTTTCGACGACAAAAGGCTTTTTGCAACGACAAAATCCCCTCTTAAAGGGGCTTCTGTTTTGTAGTGTTAGAGAATTGAGTGATGTTTAGTATGTGCTGGATATAAAGAAGAATCCTATCTTATTGGGCACTTTGGAATCCAATGGACTCAAGATCACCATGGAGGGTGGAGTTCTTAAAGATGTATACGGGGCACGAGTGCTGATGAAAGGTACAAGACAAAATAACTTGTATTTCTTGCAGAGGAGTACAATTATTAGTGGAGCAATTGTCACCGAAGCTGCTGACGCATACATCACAGACACTATGAGGTTATGGCATATGCGTCTTGGGCATGCTGGTGAAAAGGCATTGCAAGGATTGGTGAAGTAAGGCTTATTGAAATGTGCAAAGGCATGCAAATTGGAATTCTATGAACACTGTGTGCTGGGTAAGTAAACTAGAGTAAAATTTGGCACCGCTATTCACCACACTAAAGGCATTCTAGATTATGTTTACACTGATGTTTGCGGACCATTCAAGAATGTATCTTGGGGAGGTAACCATTATTTTGTCTCTTTTGTTTCTCTAGAAGAATATGGGTATATACTATGAAGCGTAAAGATGAAGTCTTGAAGATATTCCTGAAGTGGAAAAAGATGATTGAAACACAAAGCGGTCGAAAGATCAAGACTTTCAAATCAGAAAATGATGGCAAATATAAGTCTGATTCTTTCTTAAAAGTTTGTCAAGATGAAGGTATTGTGAGGCATTTCACGATTAGGAAGACACTGCAATAGAATGGGGTGACGGAGCGCATGAACCGTACTTTTTTTAGTGAACTGGCCATTTGAATTATGAACTGTGCTCTATTGCTAAGCCCAAATAGGTATGGCAATTTTCTCTGCGGGTAAGGGTCTTCATGGGGATTCAACCCTAATAGGTCGGGTATGAAAGACAAAAAATGGGTATGGGGATGGGTACGGGGAATGTTTTGGGTATGGTGTTCGAGGAGGGGCGGGGATGATGTTTTAATCCCCAACTCGAAATCTCCCCGTTTAGAATATGTATATATTAATTTTTTGTTGAGGTGTATATATAAATATGCTATTAAAGTGATTGTAAGTAGTTTTATATTTTATATTATTATATTATATACTTATATAATTTAAACAAATCTGAAGCCACACTATTTATTTATTTAGTTAACTTCCAATACTATATAAACATTCTTATATTGTCTTATAAGTATATATATTGTATATATTCATTATCTTGAATTAGTATTTTTTTTTTTCTTCAACAAAGTAGTTATATATTGATTTTTTTTTTCCATAA